TTCGATCAAAAATGTTTTTTTTTGCGTTAAGTCGTGTATCACCCAAACATCCAGCTTTTTTTTTGTATCCAGCCTTACTCAAATGGTTCAAAACGGTTGTATGAGTGGTATTTAGTTACTGGGCTATCGATCGAGTGCTCACGTGACGGTCTACCTTAATTAATTCCATGATTTTATCAGCATTTTCGACGATTGGCTGACCAGAGCGTCGTGCATCTTTGACATCGAAATTTCCGGAACGGAATCGAGCAAACCATTCTTGTATGCGACGGTCACTTACAGCATCCTCACCGTAGACCGTACAAATTTTTCAGCATGTTTTTGCAGCGTTTTTGCCTTTTTTATAGTAATAAGGCATCACATAGCGTATTTCTTCGGAAATTTCACTCATTTTCAATGGAATATAACTTTTTACACGCACGACGAATTGCGAAACTGTCTTCATAGAGAATATAGCTTAAAATGTCATCTTTCAAACGGCGTATAGTATAACCCGATACGAATCATACAAGCCGAGATGTAGAGGGTTTCTCTAGAGTAAAGATAATATTAGACTGAATTTTTATTTTATGATTTTTATTTAACGGATGCGACTTGCTTTTCTTAGTTGTAGACTTCTCAACGGCTACGCACAGACTGTACTAGTCTGGTGACCACTACTTGTTAGCGTGGTTCCCTAGCCTTCTAGTAACTTTAGAGGGCGCGACCTTCGGTCGTACCGCTACATTACTCCCTTCGGAGCATTTTTCTTATTACATAAAATGCGAAACTTAAAATTATAGATATTTACAAGTATATAAAAATATAAAAATATATAAAGATATATAAAAATANGCAAATGAGAAAGAACCATAACGCTACGAGTGATGATGACAAATGGCTGCCCACGCGAACTATTCAGTTGACTTTCTCTGGTCAAGTGTTGCCTCTAGAGATTAAAATGCTACATGTAAAATCTGATGTTAAACCATATGTGAATAACCCAATGCAGTGCTTTAACTGCTTCAAGTTTAGACACACAGCTAAAACTTGTAGAGCGAAGAAAAAATGCATCATGTGCAGGCTTGATGCCAGCGAACATGATAATTAAAAGGATAAGCAGATATGCCCAATGACAACGCCCAAGTGCGCCAATTGCAGAGTACCGCACAAGATTATTGACTCTAGCTGTTCTGTCTACCAAAAGAACTTACGGATCAATGAAATGATGGCCTATGATAACATCTYATTCGCTGAAGCTAGTAAAATTGTAAATTCTGAATCGGCAGCGCCTATCAGAACAAAAGAAAATTATCCTGCTCTCTCGCAAGACCAGAATAGAAATTATTYAAATATTATTAACAAGAATAAGAAAAATCAGATAATTAACACCAAAGACAGATTAAGAGATTCTCAGATCAATAAGTTGCAAATGCCTAATGYTTCTTGTGATCTCACTACCGAGGCTCAAGCTCAGGACCCGAACTTGCATTCACAAATTAATACTGTCAACTCTAAATTGAATAACGAATTGGATTCTGATATCAATTCTACCTATCGAATTGATAATTATGAATTTGCAACTCAATCACCGTCTGAATTCACAACTCAACAACMGAATATTGCTACTGCAAATAATTCAACTGCATCTACTTCAGCTGAAGATTCAACCTACGGCACTTATGAGCCGCTACAACRAACGTCGTCGGAGGAGACGCTAAGTCCTGGGAGGCCGCCGAAACCGCCAAGGCCGAAGCAGCAGACGCCCTCTAAGGTGGTGTGTCCATCTACGACTTCACCGCTTAATAGTACTGTTACAAGACTTTCGAATAGAATAAACGATTCTAGTAATACACTCAAGACATATACGAGAGATAATAGTAAGAATATTAAGGGCAATAAAATTGCGTAGAATATTATTATATTATATCATTAAACAAATCTTCCAAAATTTACTAATAAATATTATTCTATTATAGATAATTCAAATTTTAAAATATTACAATGGAATTGTAGATCAATTTCCCACAAATTATGCTTACAAAACTACGCATCAGATTATGATGTGATTGTCATTAGTGAAAATGACAAAAATGTGATTGAAATTAGTGAAAGTCATAGACAATATGAGATTTACTCTAAACGGTTTTAATACCCTTAGATTCGATAGACCCGATTGCAAAGAAAGAGGTTTGGCATTTTTTATTAGAAAAAATATTTTTTATCAAAAAGTAGACTTAAATATTACACTAAATAGTTTGGAAATAGGAGCTATTTCAGTAGGCTGTAACTTGGGTGAATTAGTAATAGTATCCTGCTATAGGTCGCTCAAAACAGSTAATAATTKAACCTCAAGAGAATGGATATCAYTGACAGATAAAATTAAAACATTCAATTCTTACATATTACTAGGAGACTTTAATGCACATCACCCACTTTGGGGAAATAATAAATCTTGTAGAAACGRCAATATCATATATGATAATACAGACTTTGACGACTTCTTTCTTTTAAATAATGGCAAACCTACTCATATTTTGATCTCGGATAAAGGTCATACCTTTTCGAAAGTAGATTTAACCTTTTTATCTGTGAATTTGTCTTTTAGGGCAGACTGGTCAGTGCTTAAGGACTCGTGGGGTAGCGATCATTACCCCATTATTATTTCCTTTAATCTTAAAGTTGACGAACAATATAGAGCAGATTATCGCATTAATCTAAAAAATATAGATTTAGCAAAATTTTTCAAACTACTTGACGATAAAAAATCAAATTTCAATAATATAGTTTTTACTAACCAACCAGCTGTCAATAGATATAATTCATTTATAGATTTTATTTATAAAGCTTTAGACGACTTCAGTTTAAGGAAAAAGCCAAATTCTAATGATAAAACTTTTAAGCGTAAGAAAAAAGTTAGGAAAAATATATAGTGGAATGAAATTATGTGATAAAGCAGTTAGGCTAAGGGATGCATCATTTAGGTCGATTCATGATAGGTGCAATCGAGAATGTTTTTCGATCATAAAAAGTTAGAAGCCCAAACCGTAAGAACATTAAGGGTTCATTCTGGTTCTTACGCCGAAAAAAAGGCTATTTTCACGATTTTTTTTTAGGCTTTGTAGAATACATATACATATGAAAGTTGTTGGGTATGATAAATACACTCTAGAAGTACGAGAAAAMAATTTTTTTTTATTGTTTTTAACATATTTTGACATTCAAAATGGCTGACAAACGTGAACCCTTTAAACGTAGGTATGGAGAGAATAGGTAGGTATAGAACGGTTGGTCTAAAACAAAAAAATTAAACGGTTTTAAATTCAGTATGACAATGGCTATCGGGTATGCTAAAACTATCAATTTTTATGAAAACAAAACAAGATGACGGCCATTTTTCGAAAAATAAAAAAATCGTTGATTTTTTTCGCACTTTTTTACAAAAAAAATATAGTAAAAATTAATATTTTGACTTGGTTGTAGCATGCGAGATAGCCATTCATGTGTAGAGTATGTGGTTAAAATTTCAGAAGGATCGGTTGAGTAGTTTCGGAGATATCATGCCCGCCAACCGAAAAAACGTTGTTTCGAGAAAAATTCGTTTAAAGTTTTTTTTTACAAAATTTTAAAAAAGTCTGACTTTACCTTATTCTGCGATGCCTGCATCATACAGTATGCCTTCTGCTTCTTCAAAATACTCATTATCTTCCACTCTAGCCTTTTTTCGTTGTGTCCTGGCCTCTTTTAAAGATTCTCCGCTCAAACGATTGGCTGAGCGCACACGCGTGTTGTCGCGGTTACTAGCGTAATTGACTGCGATAGGGCCAAGTTTTATCCCCAAAACGTGCATTATTTTCAGTATTGGATCAAAACCTTCGTTGAATATACAAGCTGCCAATTTACAAGCTATTTCAACAATTTTTTTTACCATTAAATAGGTGTTTAGACGCCATAGCCCAAACGCATTTGTTGAAGCACTCATTATTATTTTGAGTGTGGCCACCTAAACATCTTTCAAGCAATTCTGTTTTTGTCAGGTCAACATCAACCTTTTGTTTTTTGCAGCTATATTCATGCAGAGACATTTCCACTTATACAACCGCAGATGGTTTGTCTCCTTTATCTGTAATATCTCTATGTGTTTGGGTCGCAAAATAATATACTTAAACTGCTCGGATCGTTCTAAAATTTTTGTATGATAATTCTACATATGTCTACTTTCGAAAAATGCAAAAATATAAAAATTGATTTTTTCAAAATGATAAACCAGAATGAACCATTAATATAGACAAAGAAATGAGAGTAGCTTTATCCCATATTAGACCTGATATTGTTAAAATCTGCAAAAGTCAACAAGCTCAGATATCGCACTAAAATTGACGAAATACAATTTTAGAAAAGAGTTAAAAGTTAAAGTTTGTACTAATATAATATTTTTAAATTAATGTTTTCTTTCTTTATTTTCTATTTTTATAATTATCTATTATCTTTATAATATCTATAATTAAATGTTAAATATGTTGTATTATATTATGTTATGTATAATGTATAATCTATATATAACTTCCAATATTAATAAAAGTTAAATGTTTACACACATTTTTTGTTGGTTTTATAATCCTAATCGTCTTAATGATTTTGGTGTTTTGCAAATTTTCCTTTTAATTAAAAATGTACCGTGACTTTGAAAAGGTTAAGAACCATTGCACTAACTGTTAATATAATAATTGATAAGAAATGAGTCCAAATTTTAAATGTACAGAATCATGCCGAGAATGAAAGGTTCTAGACGGCACGTGCTACTGGTTTCAATTTTTTCAATAATTTATTGACTTTCACATTAGTAATTCTTTTTTTGGAATGGAACTCATTAAAATTGTATATTTTGTTTCATATTTATATTTTTGAATATTTTTTTGTATAACATTTGGAATATATAGTAATGAAATGTTATTCACTGCAAGTGAGCTTTAAATGATTTTAACATAAGATAATAATAATATAATTAAAATAATAATTACCACAATTGCTTGAAATCCAGTTAGACATATCATCGATGTACTTGAAAACATTTGAACTAACATGCTAGAACTAAATAGATCATTCAAGTCATTGATCATGTTTAACAATCGTTGATGATGTTGAATACATTGTTTAAAGAATTTTTCGAATTGGTCAGGTTGTTGTCTTTTATTCATTATTATCGATTTCTTCTTTTTGTTAATATTATCATTATCTTTATCAATGATAGATCCGATCTCTACTGTTGAACAATGCTGAAAATTCATACTTAATATCTCTAATTGCAAGAGAATCAAATTACAAATAGATACGATAATGGTGTCAATTGCTAAAATTGCAGTTACACCAAAAAATATGCTAAAAGCTTCAATAACGAAGCCAATTTCGTGTCCTGGTGATGTCCTGATGTCAAAAGGATAACGTGCCCGTATCGGTAAGCTACCATCTTCCGTTGATGCAAAAAATATCAAAGCGATTACCAAAAGATAACCTAGGGAGCAGAAACTGTAGAATGGTAATTTATCTCGCCATAAATAATATCTTAATTTTTCCATAAGATTGACTTCTATAAAGAAAAATAAATTATAATTTAGATCAGATTATAAATTAATTTATTCAGGAAGATGAATTATTAATGAAAAAATCAAATATTTGTGATTAATAACTTTAAATAAGATATAAAATATAACTTGAAATAATAGATAATTATTTGAAGATTATATTTTGAAATTGAAAATACTTACCAGAGAATTGGCAAAGTTCTTCGCAAGAGTTTAATGTTTCGTCACTAAGTCGAGCAATTTTATCACGTGTACATTGACAATTGATCACATTGAATAGAACTACAAACATTCCAGCGAAAACACAACCGTCATCTGTCACTATTGATAGGTCATCAAGCATCATGCAAATATCAGTGAAAAGTGTTACCGCGAATATTATCATTGCGCTCACTGCGATTTTGTTGTATATAAAATAAATACACTTCAAGAAAGATGAAGTATTTGATTTAAGAGTCCATAATCCAACCCATCTGTGTTATATCGATTATTATCAGAAATGTTTTATATGAAAATGATGATTAGAAAATACATATATTATATTTATATGTCAGTGTTAAATTGTATATTTTATGGTCAGTTAAATAGTGGAATTTATTAAATTAACCTTATATAATAATTATAACCTTATATAACCTTAAATATTATTTATAAATATTATAACACCCTATAATAATTAGCCTTACCGGAAATAACTTGGTGTATTTGAAAAATTATATAACAAGAATTTTATTATGTACTATTACTAGTAGTTTTTGAAAATAACGAGGTTATTTATGAATTTACAAGAAGCGAATAATGAAAGTATAAGATTGAAATTTAAAATTTCGTCTTTAAAATCTGTTTTTCTTTCTACAACAATGCTCGTAGTTATCCGTTCCAATCCTCTCTTATTCTATACTTTGAAAATCAATGTTCTGTTAATCGTGCTGATCTATCGGATCTAATCTACGAATCCAATTTCTATTTCATACCTTAACAGCTCATTTCTTGTAAATCTTAAAAGATCAAAGTCGCTATTTCTAAATCTTTGACACATTTTTTATAGCTTTATATGTTACTGCACCTTCATCCATGGAGAAAAAATCATTTCAGCAATTTCGGAAACATTATTCTTTAATTAAAAGGTAAATAGTATAATGTGCTACATGTGAGTTTTGTCAGACACCATTACCTTATTTACTAATAATTTTTATTTTTATTAGTTGTCAAATGTAAAAGAAAAAATAACTAAATTCAAATTGAGGTCAAGTTAAAAATAATTTATGGATTAAGGTGTAAAGAAACGGAAGTCAATTTTATAGAATCAAGGGAAGCAATAAATATACAATAATAATATAATAATATTAAATATTAATTATGTTTTTATTATACTAAATTTAAATATTTTTTAAAAATGTTAATATTATTAAACAATTATTATTATATTGATATTGTTATTAAATTCATTAAACGTCATGATTCCAAGAATTTATCATAAAATTATAATTTTCATTTAACACATTTTCTATTTTTTATGTTTTAAAAATGTTGTTTTTTTTTTTATTAATATTTAACTTATGAATAATTTTGATATGTTTAACTTACTTGAGCATATTGATACAAAGAATCCTTAATTCATAATGTGGATTTATCCAAACATACGGTGAATCTTTCACCTGGGCACACATTTTGCTTAACCACTTATGACCTGTGTTTTTTTGCAAACCTCACGAAGAAACTTTCCCTTATCTCTAGTCATATATTACTTTCTTACGAATTAGATACTTTTCTTGAAAATATAAGGCTTGGTAGTAAGTGTACTTACTAGTATCTACTATTTCATACCTTTTTCTGCGTATGTCTTTCAAGATAATTGAAGATAAAGGCTGCCATAACTGCATGAATATTTTGTCTGATTATAGAGTATGACAGCATATGTCATAGGATACTTTCGTTGATGGACGATGAAGGTGGTAGTAAGTGCTATGAAATTATTCGAAATTGTATAGAAGAAATATAAATAAGAAATTAAAATGTCATAGACAAACTATGATTTTGAATTTTCTAAACTAATGTAATTATTGTAAAAGATAATAACTGCGAATTAATTTTCAAACTAATTTCGAAAAGAAGATAAGATGTAACAGTTAAATAATATACTATACAGTTTATATAAAAAATTAAACATTAATAAATATTGTAAATATTATAATATTATTTTTCTCACATGTTTAAATATTTACATTTGTCACAGTGATTTTTGTTAATTTGTAAATTAAATTTCCATTTTATAACGAAAAATTAATTAATTTTTAATAATTAAATATATTATTTACACTTCCTATTACATATATAATATATACACACGCGTATTGTAAGCAAAAAAAAATGATATAGCTCGATCGATAAATAGAAATTTGCAATTTTTTTGATAATTCTGCACAAATAATACTATTTCTATTAATAAAATATAAAAGTACTATATAATTTTTCAAATTTTCATATCAGATATTCTATTCTGACGCAAAAATTTTGATCGTATCTGAAAAAAAACAGTAAAAAGATTTTCTATGAAAGGAAGTAAGAAAGAAAAAAGAAAACATTAACATTTATTAACGTCATACACGTAATTGTTAAATTACAAAATGAAATAGAAGTTTAACAAAAGAAAAAACGAAAAAAAAAATTTTTTTTGTTATTTAGCAATATCACCTATAAATAAGTACATATGAGACATTATGTTTCAAAAGGATTTGGGGCGATAAAGGAGAAGCGAGGGAGGAAAAGACAGGGGAATAAAAAGGAGATAGTATAAATTACACTCCATTAATCATATTTAAAAAAACTGTTTACGCGTTCGATTTCAAATGAACTATGTTGTTATCTATTCTGTTCACTTACTTCTTTCTTTCTCTTTCTCTCTCTCTCTCTCTCTATATATATATATATATATATATATATATATATAT